AGTTGGTTTGCTGGAGGAAGAGAGCGGAGCCAGAGTTGAATTTGAGCCTAAATATCGCAAAACTTTCATGTCATGTATCACTGTCCCCTAAAGCAATGTGTTATTCTTAGTCATGATGGCATTAATACCTCGCTTAAAGACAGCAGGGTTTTAGGGAAGCAAAGTGGTCAGAACCATTCGGTTCTGCAAAGAGATTGCATCATAACGTAGATTCATCATAACAATTGGAAAAAAAGAGATAGGAAATGGGCAGTTTAATGTCTGTGTCTGGGTAAGATATCAGTCGCATGGTAATACCTAGGAGAAGGCTGTGACTTCTGGGGATTTTTTTTTTTTTTTAACAAACTCACAACATACCTGTTAGGGCATAAGGTGTTCTTTCAAACCCTGATTTGAGTATGATAAAAGAATGTTATCATTTGTTTTCTTTTTGCATTAATAGCAAATAGGCTGTCAAATTTCTTCTTGCTAACCACAGTTATTTCTGCTGTTCTTTGCCTTTACACTTGCTAGCTTTTCCCTGCTCACTTCCAAGTGTTTTATTGATACTGGCTATTACCTGGGAAAATCCTGATGCTCAGGAGTAAGAGATGTTACTTCAAGAATGGTAGGAGGCATGAGGGTCAAGGTCATTTTACTTTGCTTTCTGCCCTTCCCCCTCACATTTGGCAAAGCTTCATTTTGTTGTGATTAATATCCATAAAGAATATTAATTCTAAACTCTTGTGAATTTTTGTTAATAAAAAAACACTATCTTTCCATACCTTTTATTTTCTCAGACTGTAGAATCTCCTGTTAACTGGAGGGTTCTCATATGACTTTGGAGTAGCCTGAAAGATTGGCCCCATCTTTCTCTGGAGATAGACTGTGTCGAGTTTGTGTGTTTGTTTTGAAGTGAACATTTTTGTTTGTCCAACATACACTTTTTCAGCATATGCAAATAGTGAGTGATGCTATACATCTTGCTGAGTGTAAATGTGAGAGATCATGCTTGCCTGGATTTATGAGTGTCCTTCCTCTCCTCTCCACTTCCCCTCCCCCTTCCTTCTGTTTACTGAGCTTCTAAGAGGTTTCTTTGCTGGCAGTTGTGCTTGCATACATAGCAACATGTGCCCAGAGCACACTCCGGCTGGCCTATATGGCGTCAGCTGGGGAATAGCCGCTCTAAACACTCATTACCAGACCTCTCTTCACCCAGCACGTTTTCTTTCTCTCTCTTTATTTCCTATTTCTACTCAGAAATGTTCTTATTCGCTGTACACCATGATTGTACTATAGGGCATATTGAGTCTCATTTTCTTGTCATGATTATATTTTTCTAGTTTTTTCATAAGCCATGTTGGAAATATTTCCAATGTAGTAAAATCCATTTAGGTCCTTCCAGTTGTACCATGTGATCTCCTTGACCTTGTATTTAGCCATAGCTTTCTCTCCTTAAACATCTACCTACGATTGAAGTGCTGAACTATTTTTTTCCATTGCTTATGCTTAATTTTGGCTCAGCCTATAAATAGTCTCAACATGAACAGCACCACATGTAGCCTCTCAATTTCCCAGAAATACACTCTACATCATTGGCTAGGGCTTGGATAAAATGATTATTTGTATCCATTAAATTTACATCTGGGCTCTTACATATTTAGTCTCAAAGATGAATTTACACATGATTCATCAAATCAAATGGCAATTCTCTGGAGTTATATCCATCAAGAAGTCAAATCATGTAGCATTCTCATCTATTCTTTATAGACTCAAAATGATATTTTGAATGTTTGCCTGAAATAAAGTTTCAGGAAAGTATTATTATTTTTTTAATGAACACTTTCCCTAGATGCTCATGAATTAGTGATTTTCAGTGAAAAGAGCAGACAAAGACGTTTTCTGCTTGCTTAAAGCCATTTGGGCATGTAGACAGGTTAACAGTAAGGGCCGTCTTTATGTGAAATATTAAGATAGTCGCCCTAACAAACTTTGGCAGATTCTATGCTTTTGCTGTGTAATCGGCTCCACAAATGTCTGACTATACTTAACGTGCATGCACATATGCCCAGACACAAATCTGTTTGGTGAAAGTTTCCACTTTGCCAAACAAACAAACAAACAGACAAACACCAAAACCTCTTCTTTTTCTGTGTCCAAGAAGAAGTGGTAAAATTTCTAAATGATGCTCTACATATGGAACAAATTCTATCATTAGCAATGGAAATAAGACAATAATAGTCGCTCAATACAGCTATTTTCAAGGTTCTAAATATAGAAAACTATTCATAAGAAACTTGTATTGTGTGATTTGCGGAATTCAAACAAATGTCCTGGGGTCAAGATTTTGGGGAAGTCATAATTCAGGCTTTAGACATCATATGGTTGTTATGTTTTAATCTGTATAAGTAAAAAGAAATTTGAGACTGTCTACTCATGGCCCTTCATGGTAACTCAGATGGAAGGACTGTTATGAATCATGAAAACAGAATTTCTTGGTGCCAGAATATAATCTATGGCTCTGAAATCAATGAGAACTGAAGAATATTAATATTCTTTAAATAAGCGCCCCCCCCATACTTTTTGGGAAGTATACCTGCATTTGGTGTTACGTTGTTATCTGTCTTCACGTAGAAATGTTTGGCAATTTCACACAGCCAAGTAAGCTGAAATTGCCATTCAAAAAAAAAAAAAAAATGCTTTCCACGCCTGAGATCTAGAACTCTGAGGAATAGGACTCTTGATCTTTTGTCCAAGTGCTAACTTCATAGGGAAGCAGACAAAACATTGAAGCAGGTGGAAGGTTAGGAAGGCACTGTGACTTCTTTTTATAAAGTAATTCAAAGGCACTTTCAAATCGGGCATCATTTAGGTGTCAAAAGCTGCCAAAATGTAACACACATTGCAATTTTCACAGATGACTAATCGCAGGAAAAATGTGTTGGGGCGCATTCTTGCATAATAACTTGGATAAAGAGGGAAGAGTCAAAAGACTGTAACAAGACATTTTCAAAGACAGTGCACCTTGCTTGTTTTCAGGGAATGCACAAAAATAGGATATATAGTTTGCTTTAATTGTTTGTAGCTGACTTAGCTGAAATTGGTTCTGTTAACTGCTTCACATTAATATGACTTCGGAGGAAAAGAAAAAGTGGAGTCCTCATTCTCAGGGCTTCAATAAAACCTATTTTTTCATGTGTTGTCCATTGTCTTCCTTAAATATAAGAGAAGGATTTGGTTGCTTGAAAAGTTGAGCATTATTTTTATTTTTTTAGTTCTAGGCTATACTAGTTTTTGTTCATAGATATTTGACAGAGAAAATATCTAAGACTTTCTCTTTGGCTTCTGTTAATCAAGGGGAAAACATAGTTTCTTTGGAGACAAAATGTAAAGTTAAAGCAGATATATAGTTTTTACCTAGGGGAGAATGAGGCAATAGGAGAAAACTGAAAACTGCTGTTTGTTCATATTAAGTAAAGGTGAGTGCCTTCTCCATAGGAACCTATAGCAAACAACAGCACTAAAAGTGAAAGTACGTTGACTGGCATTTGTAATCTTTCCTCACAAAGTTGTCTCTGTTTGGGAGAATCCGGCATTGCACTCACATGAAAGCTGTACCTCAATCCACTGAAGACCTGGTCCTTTGGCACAAAAGTGCTTACTTCCTAGCCTGTCATTACACATAGCAGTCCTGTCTCCGGAGAATTTCAGGTCTCTTATTGCTAGGCAACAGAATCTCTCCCTATCCCCTAGAGCAAAACTGCGTCTTCAAGTCAGAATCACTTGCACTAACAGAGATGTTATCAGGCATTTCTGCATAGCGACTGCTGAAAGTGTGCGAAGGGATGCAGCAAGCCCAAACAGCATTCAGAAATTGAGAAGTATTCGAGATGACTGTAGGAGCTGTCTGCTCAGTTTTACCATTTAAACAAAATGGTCTGTACCTTCTGATTCCAACCTTGTTGTCAAGGGCTCTAATACCCTCCCACAATGTACAAGCAACTCAGTATCAATATGCTGCATTCATGTCAAACATCCTCTAGAAATCTTCATGCTTTAAAAAAGCACAGTGGCAAACCTTGAAATTGGAAATTCTTTCTTCTGCTTAGTAACTTGGAAACCTAGAAAGTAAGAAAGGCAAAAAGAAGATGATAAGAGAGGGGAGATGTTAACCCGAAATACAGAATATTCTAGATTGGTGACCAAAAGTAAGAGAAAAGGGAGATAAAATTTTGGTTGAACAACTGTCACAGATAACTCTCCTTTTTAATAACTTTATGTTTTTGCATAATTAAAAAAAATTAGGGTATGAAGAAATGAAGAACTCAACAATTTAATGCAAAATCTAATTCTGACTGTGTATTGTAGACAGAACTCTTTAACAATTACTTGTTTAGTAATGAACAATCTCTCTTTTCTTGCAGGACATATTCTCTGGATGTCAGTTGAGTTACTAAGGTCACTCTGCATGTCAATAGACAGACCTTGGTAGAACCCCAAAGCTCCTGGAGACACCCATCTCTTCTCTCTCTCTGTCTCTCTCTTTTTTTTTTTTTTTGGTGTGTGTTTTCCCTGAACATTCAAAACTGTTTCTCCAAAGGGTTTTGCAAAAACTCAGACTGTTTTCCAAAGCAGAAGCACTGGAGTCCCCAGCAGGAGCAATGGGCAGTGTGCGGACCAACCGCTACAGCATTGTCTCTTCAGAAGAAGACGGCATGAAGTTGGCCACCATGGCGGTTGCAAATGGCTTCGGGAATGGCAAGAGTAAAGTTCATACTCGACAACAGTGCAGGAGCCGCTTTGTGAAGAAAGATGGCCACTGTAACGTGCAGTTCATCAACGTGGGTGAGAAAGGGCAGCGGTACCTTGCAGACATCTTTACGACATGCGTGGACATTCGCTGGCGGTGGATGTTGGTTATCTTCTGCCTGGCATTCGTTCTCTCATGGCTGTTCTTTGGCTGTGTGTTTTGGTTGATAGCTCTGCTCCATGGAGACCTGGATGCATCTAAAGAGAGCAATTTTTGGTGTGTGTTCTCACTGAACATTCAAAACTGTTTCTCCAAAGGGTTTTGCAAAAACTCAGACTGTTTTCCAAAGCAGAAGCACTGGAGTCCCCAGCAGGAGCAATGGGCAGTGTGCGGACCAACCGCTACAGCATTGTCTCTTCAGAAGAAGACGGCATGAAGTTGGCCACCATGGCGGTTGCAAATGGCTTCGGGAATGGCAAGAGTAAAGTTCATACTCGACAACAGTGCAGGAGCCGCTTTGTGAAGAAAGATGGCCACTGTAACGTGCAGTTCATCAACGTGGGTGAGAAAGGGCAGCGGTACCTTGCAGACATCTTTACGACATGCGTGGACATTCGCTGGCGGTGGATGTTGGTTATCTTCTGCCTGGCATTCGTTCTCTCATGGCTGTTCTTTGGCTGTGTGTTTTGGTTGATAGCTCTGCTCCATGGAGACCTGGATGCATCTAAAGAGAGCAAAGCATGTGTTTCTGAGGTCAACAGCTTCACAGCTGCCTTCCTTTTCTCCATTGAGACCCAGACGACCATTGGTTATGGCTTCAGGTGTGTCACAGATGAATGCCCCATTGCCGTTTTCATGGTGGTATTCCAGTCAATCGTAGGCTGCATCATCGACGCCTTTATCATTGGTGCAGTCATGGCAAAGATGGCAAAGCCAAAGAAGAGGAATGAGACTCTTGTCTTCAGTCACAATGCTGTGATTGCCATGAGAGATGGAAAGCTATGTTTGATGTGGCGAGTGGGCAATCTTCGGAAAAGCCACTTGGTGGAAGCTCATGTCCGGGCCCAGCTTCTCAAATCCAGAATCACTTCTGAAGGGGAGTATATCCCTTTGGATCAAATAGACATCAATGTTGGGTTTGACAGTGGAATTGACCGTATATTTCTGGTGTCCCCAATCACTATAGTCCATGAAATAGATGAAGACAGTCCTTTATATGATCTGAGTAAACAAGACATTGACAATGCAGATTTTGAAATTGTTGTAATACTGGAAGGCATGGTGGAAGCCACTGCCATGACAACACAGTGCCGTAGCTCTTATCTGGCAAATGAAATCCTTTGGGGCCACCGCTATGAGCCTGTACTCTTTGAAGAAAAACACTACTACAAGGTGGACTATTCCAGGTTCCACAAAACTTATGAAGTACCCAATACTCCTCTTTGTAGTGCCAGAGACTTAGCAGAAAAGAAATACATCCTCTCAAACGCGAATTCATTTTGCTATGAAAATGAGGTTGCCCTCACAAGCAAAGAGGAAGATGACAGCGAAAATGGAGTTCCAGAGAGCACTAGTACGGACACATCCCCTGACATAGACCTTCACAACCAGGCAAGTGTACCTCTAGAACCCAGACCCTTACGGCGAGAATCGGAGATATGACTGACTGATGCGTTCTCTGGATTATTTACTTTACAACACAGTCTGTTGGTCAGAGGCCCAAAACAGTTACACAGACGACGGTACTGATCAAGAGGTGGGTCAAGGCAAGAAGCCACAAGAGATTGAGGCTAGCACAATGGTTTCAAAGGAAGACTGTAAGCGCGATGGTTAATGTAAAGCACTAAACATGCCACCGTGTGACCCGATGGCACATATATGTTCTAGAATAAGTTATGGGTTTTTATGTTTTGTTTTGTGTTTTTACAAAACTTGAACTTGCAGGCAAGCCTTGGTTGGGTATTTGACTTATCCAGAATGCTTCTTGTTAGGGAACAAGAATGTTTTTAATGGCATAACAAAGGCAAGACTCTGCCTTAATTTTTGAAAAGCTGCTAACTACATGAACACAAATTGTATTTTTGTTGCAGTGTAGTTTTTCTTTTGTGTAATTTAAAAGTCAGTGTTGAACTTTGTTGAAAGCTTACGATGCGCTTCAAAGTGGCAAGTATTTGGCTATTAACTGCCAAAATGAGAGCCTGATTTTTTGAGGCCAGTAATTTGTTTGCTAGAATTGATTTTTTTTTTTTTCCTCTCTCTCTCTCTTTGGTTACATAAGGGCATTATGTAACACTAGCCAAATGGTAGCCTCCGGGTTGTTGTCGTTTTTGTTTTTGTTTTTTTTTTCCTCCCTCCATGATGTTAATGGGTTATCTCAAATTTTAAGTTAGACTACCTAAGATAAATACCAAAGATAATGCACAGTTTTGCACAGTGGAGCTTATGCTTAAAAAGAAACAGTGCCCCATGGGCTGCCTTGAAATGGAGAGACGGTAACTTTGAACCTCAGCAAGACCTTGAACAGTCTGCTCACTTCGTATCTTAGTCAATAGAGCATCATACGTACAGAACTAGTCAGTGTAGTGCATTTTTCATTTTAAATTTTGTTCTTTCATGAAACGTTTTTGTTTGAAGAGGACGAGGAAGAAGAAAAAGGAAGTAAAATTCACATGAACTCAATATCACTAATTTTTCCTTCCTGCTAGGTAATGCTGGCCAGGGTAATGCACAAATTGAGAGCCATTGATGTGTTCTTAGATTTTTTTCCCTGGGCTTTCCCTTTTTGCACATTCCAAAATGTATTCCAAAGATAAGATCTTGGTTGAACTTTGTCAACATCCTGACATCTTCAAAACTGAGCCACCCAGCATGAAAAATTAAGAGGCTTAATCCTTGCGATTGAAGCCATTGCCTTGACTCTCAGGACATTTCCAGCATGACTTCACCTTAGAACAGATGCCATGCCTGGTTCTACATGGGTTCTTTTGATCTGTGAGCTCAGAGCAGTTCTGCAGGGTCATCGAGGACCATAGATGCCAAAGTGGGAAAGCAGGGAGGTATGGATCAGCCTCTTCGATGTAGTGCATCAGCTCAAGCCATTCAGGAGAGGAAAGTTGCCTTTTTTTATGGTAGAGGACAGTAATAAAAATGTCTCAATGTTTTAGAGACAAAGAGAATCATAAAAATATAACACCATCACAAGTAAAGGAGACGCTGGTCTAACAGGATCATTTCCCCATTACATGTGCACATTCATGGTTACGTGATAGCTGGCCATTGTCTCCTGTGGAGCCCGAGAACAGGTTACTAAGGACACATTGTTTTCTAGAAGCATCTCCTGCCTGGCTGCCTGCCTTGCTAGAAACTTTATTTTTGTTTTTAGAAACTTTTTTTTTCCACTTTAGCTCAAGAATGGAATTCTTTTAATTTTTTTCTTTCCTTTATTTGTGAATTCTGGGGTGACTGACTTTAATTGGAGTCTTAAAATCAACTCTCTTATGGTATTATATCCCTGTATGCCATTAAAAAACAGCTTGTTCTAGAATCATATATTTTGTACGTTGATGTTCGTGATGGTCTCTGGTTCTTGAACAGCCATATCTGAATGCAGTGCCTGCACAAATTTGACAGTTTTTTTTTTTTTGCTGTTTTCAGCCTTCAAATTTGATGGGTTTGGAAACCGTGGTGTTATTTTGATGGAAACCAAGAAAGAGATGTTAAAATGGATATTATTGTAAATCCACACTGAAAGGCAGGTTTGGGAAGTTGTTTGAAGAGTGGGAAGAATTGGAGATTTATTGGACAAGAGAACTTGCAGAGAGGCAATAATTTGGCTGTTGACAGTGAGAGGGTATTGAGGGCTTCAGCTGCTGCTATTATGATGTTTTGCAAAGGAAAATAATTAAACCAAAGAGTATTCAGTGATATGTAAATTAAATGAAGATGCAGTGGAGATTGGGGGTGATCACAAAGGAGGCTCCTCCCAAACACACAGTGCTGCCACTTAAAAAGACTTGAGATATTTGACAGGGGTGGGTGTGGGGGTAAGAAAGGAGGGGAACCTTTCAACTTATTTCTGAAAAAGAGAAAAAAAATCTAAAATTTCTGGTGCACAGGTTTGTTTGTTTGTTTGTTTTTTTCCAAGAAAATTTTGCAGAAGCTATGTTTTTAAAGTGTACATTTTATAAAGTTTATCAGATATTTTCATATTTAAAGCCAAATGTAAATAGAAGTCTGTAAAGGAAAAAAAAATTGCCGTAGAAAGTATAATTTTAGTGCAGCAATTTCTGAAAGCTAGTACCTATATGCTACCGGTTAGCATGGTTTTAGCGAATATTTACCGGCCTTATAAGGTTCGTATTGCTATGTTCTTCTGTTATTTATTTCAGCATGGACTGTTCATTTGAAAGCTTTTTCTAGTTATTAGCATTTTAACAGTTACAAACTTTAAATGGCAATTATTATTATTATTATTTGTCAAGAGCCAAGACACAGGTAATGCACGACATGTATTGCTGCATTTTACCTTCAAAATATTTGCCCTTATTGACTGGGTCTCCTTAACTAGTGCACACATGTCATTAGAATGCAGATGGGAGGGACTCACCTTGAATATCTGGGGTTGATTCTCAGATGCGTGTTGCTTCTCTATTGCAAGCAAACCCCGTTGAATTTCCTTAGAATGTATTCCCTTTTAAAGAATTTTTGCCCATATCTGAATGGGCAGTATATTTTTGGGAGGAGGCATAGATTCTTGGTTATCCTATTTTTAAATAAAAGGTAGACAAAGTGAATTCTATTTTGATTATTGAGAAAGGAATAGTTTTCTATCCCTCTACGAGTATACTTGAATCAGACATTTTCAGGATGTCACTATAGCACTGTAGTCATTTCCAAATTCCTAGAGAAAGTTTGTTTGACTTTGTTTTTCTTCTATAATGCATTATTTCTTTTCTTTACTTCCTTTCTTCCCCAGACACTCATATCCCAAATATTGATGTTTATTTGATGAGCTATGTTCCCCAAATCATGTTCCCCTTGCAAATAATAAATGTCTGTTTATATTTTATAAGAAGCCTCTCGGTAAAGGCAAAAAGCTTGTCCTGAGAAGTAGGGTGAGTGCTTTTCCACTCTGTGTCTAATGTTAAGGTTAAAAAAAAAAAAGTGTTGCGTAGTCCTCTCCCCACCCTCGATCCTCAGCAAACTAGAATCTCTTTTCTGGTAATGTTGAGTTTCAGGTCTGGGCTCTGGAGAATGGAACAATCCTGGCCTTTGACAATCGTGGTAGTTACTATTTTCCCATTACCGTCTTTTTGTATCTAACGTCTTCCTATTGTACTGCACAAACCATGGATTGTACATATTTTTATATATTATGTCTTATTTTATTATTTCTAAATAAAAAAATTAAAAATTGAAAACACATTGGTGCAAGAATCTTTGGGCTTCCTGAATGTTACTGTAGAAACACTGAGATAGAAAGCGAATGTTCTCGAACAATGGGGCATAAAAAACCCCCGATAGTTTAGATGAATAGAGCCATAGAAATTGCCTACACAGGTGCAGTAGACTGGTAGATTAGGTTAATCCAACTTAGAGGAAGTCAAGCTCATATTTTGTTTTTGGGACAAAACGACCTAGGTAAGAAGAACATAGAAAAGACGAGGAAACAAGCAAACACAACTAACAAAAAATATTATAAGGCTTAGTGTTTGATTTGTTCTTTTATGATAATGAGAGTAACTCTTCATTGCGTCTCAACTATCAGTTCGTGGGGTGGATATTCTGTCATTCTCACACACAAAAAATCAGGATATTATTAATAATCTTGCACTATAGGTGAGAACTTGGCAAATAAGTTTGGTAAAGGGCTAGATAGTAAGTATTACTTCTAGACATGAGGCTCTTTTTTGCAGCTAAGCAGTTCTGCCTTTGTAGTGCAAAAGCAGCATCAGATAATAGAAAATGAAATGGTCTAACTGTGTTTCAATGAAACTGTGCTCACAAGTGCACATAGTGGGCCAGAGTTGCCTAATGGCCTATTTGTTGACTCCTGTTACAAATGAAAAAAGAAGAGTAAATTTTAAAAAAAATGAATCATTGAGATAGTATTTGAATTCAGATTTTATTTGTCTCCAAACGTAGTTGAACTCACTCAACTATATATTATTTTAAGACACAGAGTTACCAAGGATATGCGGTGTCAGAGAAGCAGTCACTACCTCTACCCAATTTAGGCTAGCTCTGGTTTTCAAGGTTGGAAATACTGAGAACATTTATACTCTAAAATATGGGTCGTTCATTAATATTTTGTTTTAACAGTTACTCATATGACATCTATATTTCAATCAGAGTTTTAAGTTCTTTATAAATACTAAATATTTAATCTTATCAGTCCTCGGGATAGGTTCTATTATGATCCCCCTTTAAGAAACGAGGAACTTAAGGCCCAGAGAGGAGAAGTGTCTTGTCCAAGAACACAAAGCGTGTCATTGTCAGTGCTGAGCTGTATACTGAGGCCAAAAGCATTAGGCTGTGCGTTTTATCACCACTTGATGCTGTATATTTTTTTAGAGGCCTTTTTGGTTAAAGCTGCTTCTCTTAATCCAAGGCCTTCCTGCTGCTCAGGTTTTCTTTTTCTCAGTGATGAAAGTGCATGCTTTTTTCCCTCATGGGGCATAAAAGCACAGAATGCCTGTCTCGTTCATAACCTGCTCTTCAATTTCTCCTTCAGTGTTTGGAGAGAGAAAACAGCTCAGAAAGGATAAAGTAATTGAGCAAATGTGAGCACTGGTCGTGGAATTAGGGTAGTTTCAAACTGCAGATTAATTTCAACGAACTAGGACTTGCTTCGGCCCATCTCTAGATCAACTGCATAGCTCTGTTACTAAGCAAACTGTAGCCACCCATCACATTCACACGTATGCTTTCTGCTCACCATTGGCAACCTGTGAGATCACATGGTCCTATTAATGATTGGGCCAATTAAGCAAGATATAAAATGGCAATGCCAGGTGGCAAGTTCAGTACTGTTTGTTTTGTTTTGTTTTTCCTTTTTAAATTAGATATGTATATGCAAAGAAAAACACGAAGGTGAGATTTCAGAGTTGTTCTGCTTGGTTCCTCTTTTAAGTGACAACCAAGCAAGGCCTCTAAGCTCCAGCCTTCTTCAGCAGTAGTTCTCCAGATGATACCTGCAAATAAGAAAATGAATTTCTCTCTAGAAACATCTATATTAGGGCTAAAAAAACTGATAAAAAAGACCAGATCTTTTCCCCAAAATTTGCATGAATGGCTAAGTAAATAAATGAAACAAAGGAAGGCTATATACACTTTAAGTGAAATGATGAACCAGTCTACCAGTAGCATATTTTGAGACCTCAGAGCTCTTTATTTTCTTCAAAATATCTCCTATGAAGGAGCCTTGAGAACTAATGAAAAGAGTCATAGTATAAAAGCTATTATGGCTTTTTAGAAAATTGACATAATTATAAGGTAATAAATGCAAAACACAGGTAGACTAAGACTATCAAAGTACCTGGTTCTGAAATAGAGTTCCCAACCATTCTTCTTATTTTTTTGAGACTAAGTGTTCTCCCAGGGATTCTTCGTGCAAAAATTGGGAACGTTCTGGAGGAACGAGGCAGTCAGACATCCTACCTTGGAAGCTAGAGACTTAGAAAGGTTGTGGGGACAAAGGGAAAGGGGAAGTTCAGACAAATGTGAGAAGGAGCTAAAGCAAGGTGAGCCAGATTCAGCACTAGAGTATTACAAAACTGTGAGAATAATAACAGTGAATAATCATACGTAGATGGTTCTCTTCACGTGATGGAAAATTGTTGCCTCAAGGGCATTCATTGTTTGGGAGTAATGGTTTTCTAAATATTACACAATTCTCTGCTTTATTTAAAAGATGATATACGCTATTTAACATGTCCTATGCGACTCAAGCTAATATGTGTACCTCTTCCTGTGGGATGTACTTTGAAGTGTGTCTTATTTACCATAAAGCCATCAGCTATTCTGTCCACTGCCAAAAGTTTCCTTCCACTCAAGGTTTTTGAGTCATCGTATTGAAGAAATCAGATTAATCCATTATGATATAGCTTATAGTATCATATGTAATATAGACTGTATGACAAGTGATATCACATATCACCATATCATGCCATAGGTAAAGTGGATTATCAAATAGGATTATCAGATAACACTATAAAACCAATATCAGAATATCGGGCAGGTAGAATGTCCAGGTGAAACATGTAAGACTTGGTTTGAACACAAGATTTCAGGGTGACTATACATTTTCAAACATCTTCTTTGTTTGAAGTTTGAGATTCTATTCTGAGAGGGTGAGGTTTGACTTGCAGAAAATTCTGTTGAGGAAATTACTCCATGGTACTAGGAACTTCATTTTCTCTATGGATTGGTCTTCAATACATCATCATTTGGGAAATGAGTGGTGTGATGTATATTCATTTTTGCCTGAAAACTAAGAAAAGTATCTGAATTTTCAATATTAAAAGTTCACATATAATAACTACCCAGTTATTAAGTCCTCAGGAGGTGTTAGGCACTGGGACGACACATAGTTTTTGCCCTCTCTATACATAAATCTTCAGCTGGAAGTTTAAGTATTTTTCAGGGATGTTACCATAGACTCAAATAGTTTTGCAACACCTTACAAGGAATCGTTTTCAGAGCGTATTATTCAAATATCCTAACTGTGGCAAATTTTTTAAGCTTTTGGGTTCCATTTTACTTTGAGGGGAAAAAAATGCAAAAATTAATTAGAACTAAATTTAAAACTAATGTGGATAATTAAGATTGCAAATGGCATTTTGTACCAAACAACCAATGTGTGACCCAGAGGACATGTAATGAGATGACTTGGTTGCTTAATTGTTAATGGTCCTGATATGGCTCCAAATGGCCCAGGAGACCTTCCGAAGTAGCCTGTGCCGTGCAAGTAAACTTGGGCCAAGTGACCTTTGATGTGATTACTGTGAAGGACATCTCACATGTCAATAAATAAACTTACCTGAATAAAAATAAAAATCT